TGTCATGGTGTATGCTCCCTGGAGTTGACTATCACTGTCTTCCTAAGTACCAGCCTCTGGGTCAGTGGAGGTCTGCGCCGGGAGTGGTGCTGTCTGGATTGATTTCAGGTTTGTAAAGCTGCATTTGACACCCTGGCATGAATTCAACCTGCTCAAGATGGTGACCAAAGGCGGATACGAAGCATCCAAGTGGCAGTGGTGACTTACTTTGTTTTCGAGAAAAAGCTGCAGTGACGCTGGCTTTGAATTTTCATCGAGAGACGATCTTAATGCCCACTGTGTCACTGGAAAGATGAATTGCCAGAGAGTAATCTGAAACCATGTAAAAGATGCAGGATACCAGCTGACGCATGGCTGTGTGTGTGTGTTTCTAGATTTCCAGTGGGTTCAAGGAGACGTGTGTGAAGTTCAGCTGATGGTCTACAACCCGATGCCGTTTGAACTCCGAGTTGAAAACATGGTACGTATCACTAACCACTGACCTTTTGGGCTCAACACCAGCTTACCATGAAACTAAGTTTTTAAATTAATGTTTGAGACACACGCCCTATGATATGCGTCTATTTTTATATTTGTTTTGCCAGAGATTATAAGGTTTTTGTGAAGGAAGACCGACCACGTCTTGTCATTTCTGTGTCCTTAATGCTTGGTTCTCTGTGGTTGAATCCGTGAACAGATAACCTCTGATTTGAACACATACCAAGCGTAGTCGATTGGATGTGAGATTTGAAATAATCATGTTGAAATTTACATGAGATTGGCACAGGTTACGAAGTGTATATTATGTCCACTGCTCAGTATCAGCCTTACTTTATTGCTAGACGATCAAGGCCTGAGGGAAGAGCAGACTGTGTGGAGTAAGAGTGGAAGTTACTGCACCGCCAGCGTGAGGTTTCTCTCTGCTTTGAATTCTGCTTTTCTGTTCCCGTGTTTTGTGGAGGGCATTGAAGGTTCACTCCGTAGCAGTCTCTCCTGGGGCCACTCACCCAATTCCACAGTCCGTGGGAAGGAGATGTGTATTGTCTCTCCAGATTCATCCTGTTTTCGGAGCAGTCTCCCACCCGTCACGCGGGTTCTGTTTCTCAAGTCTTCTCTGCTTATTATTATGTAGCACTGCTCGGTGCCTCGGGTCACCACCGGCTGCCTTGCGTTGTCACGTAGGCTTTGTGCTGTATATTGTTATCTAATGCTGCATGTTAGCGTATAGTACTGCTTGGTAATTTTTCAGAGACTTGCGAAGGATGGTTTTGAGATCGTTCACGTTTTCCTTCAGAGTTGAATGACTTACGCTCAGGGTAAGAGGTGGGCTTTTCAGGCAGATGTCTTGCTGAGTGCTCATGCCACGTATCAGGCCGCGGGCAGGGCCCTTGGGAGACCTGGTCTCTGCCGTGGTCAGTGCTGTGGGTGCACGAGATGCTGCAGGGTCCCCGTGGAGAGTCCAGGAAGGCTTTCCGGAGAGACAAAGGCTTAGCTGCGAACAGAAGGAAGAGTGGGAGTGCACCCGGCCCACTGGTGGTTATTGAAGGTACTGTGCCGGCTCTCCGCGTGAGGCATAGGTCTCCAGAATTCATTTGAGCTCTGAGACACTCAGCCCACCGTCAAGCCTACGGCCCTGAGGTCACTCAGAGAGGAGGCCGGCAGGAGTGAGTACTGTCGTCCTCCTCTTGTGCAAGAAGCTGCCCGCTTTAGGGTTTGCTCTCACATCAGGCCTTTTAATGGTGACTTTCTGTCTCTTGGCCTGAATCGGGAAATAATTGTTTAGAGAATTTTCCCCAAAGTGCTTCAAGTATCAGATGCTTGCTGTTCTTTCTGACACACTGATCTTTTTTGTCTTAAAAAGTGGCTTTTATTTTTATCTGGTTTAAAAGTAATATGTGCTTTTTAATAAAAAGTTAGGAAGCACAAAGAATAAAATACAAATTGCCACTAGAAGGTAGCCCAGAGATCGTGGCCAGAATGAAAAAATAACGAAATATTTCAAGCGTATGAAATGTTACAGGGAGTGTTAGGCCTTCCTAGAATGTCCACCGTCCACGTTTCGCCACGTTTGCTTATCGCTATTTTGAGAAGAAATAAAATGCCGACACGTTTCGCCTGGAGCCAGTAGCCATCCTCTGGTTTCTGTGCCTGCTCTCTGGCCCACTGCCTCTGTTCTGCATGGAGATCATTGCGCGCTTTTGCTCCAGATCTGGGCCTAGGTGCGCTCCGTGTTGCTGGAGTGTCTGCTTCTGGGGGCTGTCTAGAGACAGAGTGAGGAAAAGCATGCGCGCGTGCACGCAGACATGTGCTTACAGATACGCCTGCATGCACACATCTGCATACACGCGCACACCCGTGCCCATACGCACATGTGTGCACGATACACGTACAGACTGCGTCAGCGCTGACTTCAGGGTGGTGCCGCCGGCTCTCGCCAGTCTCCACGGGGCCCTGTCCTGCCTTCCTCCTTCCCACGCCTTGTCCTTTCCGTCAGAGTGAGAACTGGGGCCCCGGCACCGTTGTGCTGGCTCAGTGGCTCAGTCCTGTAGTGTGTCTGGGTCTGGTAGGTTCAGGGCCACGTAGACCGCGGCACCGCGGAAGACAAGCCCCAGAAAGGTCCTGGGCCTCTCCTTCGTGCGTGTCCTCGCCTGGGGAGCACTCTTTACCTGTCGTTCATCAGCTCGACTGCCATGCGGTCGATGTTTCTGTTCTCTTAGTTAATGGTGTTTTTGTATTTTATTTTCTAATATTTTTTGTTTGTTGCTGAATTATAGAAATACTTTTGCTTTTTTTCACACTGACTTTGTGCCTTTGCTAAATGCACTTGTCAGTTCAAGGTTCCTTGTGGTTTCCACAGGGCTTTTTATGTTTATAGTTTTGGTTTTTGCGAGTAAACTGTTTGCGTGCCTTTAGTTTCTTTTTCTTGCCTCTTGCACTGGGTAGGACCTCTGTTACAGCGCCGAGGAGAAGTGCTGAGCACTGACATCCCTGTGCTGTTGACGGTTGTGGGCGGCTCCCCGAAGCCGAGGAATCTGTCTTGTTCCCTGTGGAGCACAGCCTGGCACATGGTGATGTGACTTGATCATTCAGTGAGGGATGTTGATGGATGATCGTATTTCCATCGTTTGTTTTTTTCTCTGTGTTCACATATTTTATTTTTTTCCATTACGTTTACATTCCAACTTGGTAAAACAACGGAAAGCAGGGCTAACATCGAGATGGAATTGTTCAGGCACCCACAGTGCTGCCTGTTTCCAGGTTGTTTGTGTCACGTGCACGGCGAGACCAAGCCTGCGGCTCTCTGTGGACCTTCGCGCAGGCCAGGCATTGCCGTCCTCCTCCTGGTGGCCTGGGCCTGTGGGCGGGCGGGCGCCCTGCGTCTGGGGGGACCCGTGAGGCAGTGGTGCTTTGTGCTGTGTACCACGTTGCTATTGCTTGTTTTAGGGACTCCTCACCAGCGGCGTGGACTTCGAGTCTCTCCCCGCGGCGCTCTCCCTTCCGGCGGAGTCTGGTCTTTACCCAGTGACTCTCGTTGGGGTCCCACAGACGACTGGAATGATTACTGTGAACGGTAAGGAGACTTGCTTTCTGAGTTCAGCTCGAGCAGGGCTGCCGAACCCCCGTCCTGCCCCACGGAGGCCCGTCACTGGTCCCTGGTGTCAGTCCCAGTCCAGGAGCGATGGCCAGATCACGATGCCTGGGGCTGCGACATGGAGAGGAACGGTTTTGAGTGCCCGGGATGCAGTCGGCCCTCAGCGCTGTTACAGCGGGAGGGGTCCGACTCCGTGTCTGGCCTCCTCGCCCTCCTGTCACTGTTCTGTGCAGCCCATCTCCTCCGGTGGGTCTGCAGATGTGCCTGTGGGCTCCCCTCCGCCATCGGGCCCTCCTGCCACACCTCATCAAGGGTCCGTGTAGACACGCAGAGTCCACTGTCCCCCTCTCTGTTGGTGTTGTGACCTGTCGTGTGCGGGGGTTGTCCCTGGCTGACCCAGTTTGGTCTGCCATTGCTGCTGGGCCCACCCGTCCTCGTGGGCATCCTCCTCCAGCTTCTGTCAGACACCCCTTCTGCTCCCCTTCACACTCAGTGCCCTGCAGATGCTGCTTCTACATGACCCTCCGTGGTATTCCTCAGGGCCAGGCTCTGTCCTTCCCTCCTCCCTTCCCCCATCTGCCCTTTTCCCCCCCGCCCCCATCGGGCTACCTCTAGGCAGTCTCTGTCCTCTCAGTGACTTCTCTGGCTTCAGGGCTCATCCATATGCTGCTGATTCCCAGGCCGTGGCTCCGTCCAGACCCCTTTCCTGAACCTGCATAGCCAACCACTGACTGGCTGGCACCTTGGTTGCCCCAATTCGGTGAGGGCGTCACCATCCTGCTGGGTGCCCGAAGCAGGTCCTCGGATGCCGCCTTGCCCCCTGCCGCCTCTCAGCAGCCCCACCCCTGCCCCTGCCCTACTGACGGGAACCTCAGTGCTCCTGTCTGCTTCTGCAGGCCCTCAGAGACAGAAGGAGACCTTCTTACAGGGTTTGTCACAAAAGCAACAGACGGGCTCATCTTTCTCTGTCAAGTCTTGGTGGCTGGTGAGCCCGCTTCCCACACTGCTGTCAAGTGGCCTTTCCGCAGTGCCCATCTGCCCGTGTCATCTCTTAACCACGAGTCTTAGCACCTTCCCCATACCTGCCCCATCCGGGCTGGACTCCGTAACGTGGCTTCAGAGCTCCCCCGTGTGATCCGGGCCCGTGGCGCCTCGTGCCCCTCCCCTCCCCCTGAGTTACGCATCCCTCCCTTAGGCTTTCTGAGCCTCTGCCTGTGCTTTTCCTTCTGCTGCTGCTTCTGGACTTGCCTGGCCCTGTGCCTCTCTCACTTCTTGGCTCACATTTCCTCTCCCCTTGGGGATTGTGCTCAGCTTCTCCGTGCTGGGTCAGGTGCCTACCGCACCCGTGTGTGTCCCTCCGGGCCAGTGGTTGCAACTGCTCCCTGGGCTCGTCCGTCTTGCTGGTTCCTGGCATGTGGTGGGTCTTTAGTAGATACTTAGTGACTGAAATGGGGACAGTTCTGGGGAAGGGCGATGTCTGCAGGGGGTGAGGTGGGTTAGGATATGTGGCAGCAAGTGCCGGGAGGGGCCAAGCAGGTGAGTGGCCGAACGTGGGGGAGAAGGCCCAGAAGGGGAGCGTGGCCCGAGAAGGACTTTCTTTCTCCTACTGAGGGACCCTGAGCTTTGAAGGCCAAAGGGGAATTATGTGAGTGGATGGGGTGGGGAGTAGGGGGCTTCCAGGCAGAAAGAACAAGTGGTCCAGAGACCCGCGTGTGTTGGGGAACCAGGGGCGGCTCTGAGGACCTGGCCCAAAGCTGAGGGGTGACGAGGCCGTGAAGGGAGGGAGACAGAGGACAGACCTGGAAGGGCCTTGTAAATCATGCCACGGGATGCTGGTTTTCTCCCGCAGGCCGCATTCGATTCGAGGAGAGATACAGCCAGGCGGGCAGTCCAGAGGGACCCCAGGCTGCTGCGTGCAATGTGGGCTGGAGATGGGCAGGGGGCAGGGAGACCGACTGTGAAGTTGTTGGTATAATCCAGGGATGAAATGACAAAGGTAGGGCCATAGCTGTGACCGGGGAGTGGAGCGAGGGAGACGGATGGCAGAGGAAATAATTAGGACTGACGGGCTAACCAATAACCGTTAACCGGTGGACGAGGACTCAGAGCCCTGGTAGCACAGCTCTTATTGGTACAGACTCGTTGGTGTTCATTTTTGGCACACCTGCTGTGCAAAGTGGGAAGGGCTGACTGTGTATTCTCAGAAATATGATTAGACACGGCAGGATTGGTCATCAGGTTTTGAATTTCTTTGTAGTCATTTTCAGCAACAGGTAAGAAAGGGAAAATGACTGATTTTAATGAAGAAGTGGAAAACAAAGTTTGCTTAGGCAAAACCACATTGTATTGGGTTTTACTTATTTATTTATTTTTAAAATGTTTTAATGTTTATTTTTTGAGAGACAGAAAGAGAGAGAGACAGAGCGTGAGCAGGGGAGGGGCAGAGAGAGAGAGGGAGACACAGAATCCGAAGCAGGCTCCAGGCTCTGAGCTGTCAGCACAGAGCCCGACGCGGGGCTTGAACTCACAAGCTGTGAGATCATGACCTGAGCCGAAGTCAGCCACTTAACTGACGGAGCCACCCAGGCGCCCCTATATCAGGTTTTATGGAAAGAAGGACATGCAGGGGCGTTACACCAGATGTGGGTTTCTGGGGAGGAAAATGTTCGCAGGCTAAATGAAAGAAGGCTTTTAAGTGACCTATTTCCAAAGGAAGGAAGTGTGGGTGCCGTGATGGGTAACTTTGAGTCGCCAGAGCAGTTTAACGCTGGCAGAAGGTGAAGGACACGGCTCTCGGGCCAACAGCTGTCTTCTCTGATCAGTATCCATTCCGTTAATGTGAAGGCACAGAGCATTTAGCCCGTGGGCATGGTTTAATTTTGTTATACGGTGAATATTGTTTATAATAATTCTCTCTCGAAATTTCAAAAGCCATTTTAAAGCTTTCTTAAGTAATTTCAAGTGCTTGTCTAAGCAGTGGAGGTTTTTTTGTTGTTTTTGGCACGAGAAACTCGCTAATCTTAGATTACGGTGTTTGCACACATCCAGCAGGCTTGTCATATCGCGTAGCAGTCATAGTCACCATAGTTGGCTCTTGAACTTCGATCTGTCCCCGGAAGATGTCGGATCATTTTCCAGATACTTACTCAGTCACGTTATGTCCTGCAAAGGAACGCTAGCTATCACTGTCTTAGAGACGGGCAGATTTGAAAAGCAGATCGTGAGAGCGGTGAGACCTGGTCTTAAGTTGACTCAGTTGACAAAGACCCACATGTGCTTTCGCTGCGACCCAGTCGGCCCCATGGGTAGGAATGCGGGGACTGTCACCCCTCTGCGTGCGTCACCCAGGGTTTCAGGCTGAGCTGCGGGTGGGGCCGGCGGGGTGAGGGCTGACCGGACACAGGTCTGGGGCGGGGGGCCGGGCTCCTCCCTGCTGGAGTCCGCCTTTAGGTGTGGGCCCGAGGCTGGAGGCCTGTCCAGGGGCTGTGAAGCTCTTCATTTCGCTTCCCAGGTTACCATACCACGGTCTTCGGCGTCTTCAGTGACTGTCTGCTGGACAACCTCCCGGGAGTGAAGACCAGTGGCTCCACGGTGGAGGTCATTCCCGCCCTGCCCAGGCTGCAGATCAGCACCTCACTGCCCAGGTAGGGCGCAGGCATCTGCCTTCTGACAAGAAAGGGTGCACAGAGTAGTTGGGAGGAGACATTTCTTTTTTTTTCTTAAATTTCTTTAGTGTTTATTTATTTTTGAGAAAGAGAGAGAGAGAGAGAGAGAGAGTGAGAGAGAGAGCCAGCACATGAACGAGGGAGGGGCAGAGAGAGGGAGACACAGAATCCGAAGCAGGCCCCAGGCTCTGAGCTGTCAGCACAGAGCCTGACGCGGGGCTCGAACCCGCAAACCGTGATATCATGACCTGAGTAGAAGTCAGATGCTCAACCCACTGAGCCACCCAGGTGCCTCTGTAGTAGACATTTTTAATGGTACCAAGAATCTGAGTTAACATATGATTCTTAGGATCAAAATATGGGTTGGGGAGCGTGAATGGCTCTGTTGGTTGAGCGTCCGACTTCAGCTCAGGTCAAGATCTTGCAGTTTGTGAGTTTGAGCCCCATGTCGGGCTCTGTGCTGACAGCTCAGAGCCTAGAGCCTGTTTCGGATTCTCTGTCTCCCTCTCTCTTTGACCCTCCCCCTTTCATGCTCTGTCTCTCTCTGTCTCAAGAAAATAAATAAACGTTAAAAAAAAACATGGGTGAAGGGTTTTAACCAGTAGGCAATATGCTTTGCTTAAAGTGAAGCACAACACGGTTGAAATGTTTCTTACCACGAACGGAACAAAATGTGAAATTAGCCTTTGTAATCTTTTTTTTTGTGTGTGAAAGACAGTTAACTTTTACCTTATAAAAAGTAGAAAAGTAGCCTTGTAGGAAGGCATGAAGAAAAAAGGGAAATATATCTCCGAAGTCCCAGAGACAGTTACTGTGAATGCTTTCTGGTTTTTCTTTCCGTCGCTTATCTACCTTCTTTTTGCAAATGTATGTTTGAATATTGAGATGATGTCACATTATGTGAGTATCATTTATTATTTTTTGCGTAGCCATATAACATACGCTAAAAAAATTTCTATTTTAATTGCTTCAAAATGTACATCATAAAGATACTCAGTTTGGATAATGGAAATGTTTTAAAATAGGTTGGTTGTCAGTGACAGTTCTATTACTCAGTAAATTTGCTAAAATGATTGGATTATATACTCAAAACAAGTGAATTTCATTGTATGTAACACTGCAGTTAAAAAAAAATGAATTTTGTTGGTTTTAGTGTGGAGCACATGATTTCAGATGACTATTCTTTAAATGAGTGTTGCTTCTAATTAATCTAACATCAGTATCCTTGTGACTGAGTTAACACATTCACTCCCACACGTTTTTTTGATGCCTGCCGTGTGATCTGGGCCTAGTCTATAGGACTAGCAAGTAATCAGAAATGCCCTCGACCTGGGCCTTGCCTGTTATAGGAGCTCATGTCCGGAGGGGAGCCAGACTCACCGTAGTCAAGTTTGCTAAGTGCTCCTTAACCTGAAGACTCCCGTTCACGGTTCAGGAAGGCATCATATCACAGATGTGATGTTTAAATTGGGCCTTACAAGATTCACACAAGTTGGCCAGATGATCAAGCAAGGAAAAAATATGCCCAGAAAAGGGGACATGTCTGACTGCCATCCTCTTCCTGCCACGGCTCACCCAGGACTCAGCCCCTTTCTGGCCCCGGCTCTGTCACATGGAACCCTGTACTCAGGGACAGTCAGCACCTGTGTCAGCCAGGCCCTGTGGCCTGGCTAAGGTTCTGCTTTCTCCCACCTTCTTTTTCTATGGTCCCAGAGGGGCTGGTATCCTCTCTGTTTGAGAGGCGAAGTAAGTAGTCTCGCTGTGTTTTAGTTTTTCTGTATACGTCCTCTGCAATTTCAAGTTGACTACAAACAGCTTTTGCACTTAAGAAGGACTGCAGATTAAAATCTGGAAAGAAGTTGTTTATAGTGAGGATAGGACTCATCTCCCTTCCTTGACGGAGAAAGTTTATTTCTTGACTCATGAGTAACTTTAAAGGTGTAAAATGTGAAGTAATTCACCTTGATTCATTATGCTATTATTTTCTGCAAATGTGGTTTGGATATAGAAGCTCCTCTCTCAGAGCCTGGGGCAGGAGGCCCCCAGGAAGGGCAGGGCTGGCTCGGTATGCCCAACTTGTTTAAACCCCGTCTCCTCCCTTGGATGCCAGAGGGGTGAGACCAGCACTGTCCGGCACATTCCTTGCCATCTTTTTTTGGAGCAGTGTGGGGATATGAAGCTGTCTTGTGGCATGTAGAATGGGACTTGGGTCTGACCCTGGTCCTTTGTTCTGTGGCCGGGAGCAGAGTTAGAAAGACCTGGCTGGCGGGGAGGCTGTTGGGCACTTGCTGGGTGGGGGTGGTGTGGCCCGGAGTCTTTGTCCACTTCTGGGTCAGTTCAGTATATGGTGTAGACTCATGGGCTTTCTGTGGAAATCCTTCAGGTGTAAGGAGGAAGAGAGTGGGGGGCCACGTGGGCTCTTGGGACCCCAGGAAAGAATATTCACCCTTTCCTCCAGTGACCACCCCCTTTCTTTTGTGGCCAGTCTTCTCCAGAGCATTGTATGTGCTTTTGAACCTGAGGTTGTGGCGCAGCCTTCCGGCTGTGTGCTGGCCTGCGCTCCCACGAGGCCTGGGCCTCACCTGGCCACGCAGAGGATGCCATGTGGCCCGAGGACGCCACCCAGTTGCCCTGTGTCCCCTTAGGCACTTGCAGGGATTGGTTGTCGTTTGTACCTGTGACGTGGAGTCTCTTGTACATACTCGCCACTCCAGTCCCCATGGTATCCGTCGGAACAGTCCTGGTTTCTTCTTCAGTCTGTGGGTTTTCCCAAGACAATTGTGAGCATGAGATTTAAAAATTTCTTTTTAGAGAGTGACAGTTCACAGATCATTTGAATTAATTCACTGTGTCTCGTAGGCCTCACTATAATCCAGTAGTTAAGTATTTTTATGCTACACGTGCACACGCATGCACACACACACACACACACACGCACACACACACACACATACACACACGACGCTGAGGCCGAGTGGAAACCCCGGATGCGTCTGTGTGTGGATGGCCCTCCGCATGTGGCGCTCACCCTCCCCTCCTGATAGCTCAGATTGAGTTCCATGTTGAAAGCCGGGCTTCACCACTTCCTGCTTCTGGAACGTGTTAAGTCTGGGGATGTGAATATTCTGAGATGCCGTTGTTTTTCTTTACTTTGATTCTTTCTTTTAAAAAATCCCTGTAATTCTTACTGCTATTTCAGATCTGCCCATTCCTTGCAACCCTCCTCTGGTGATGAAATCTCTACTAATGTGTCCGTCCAGCTTTACAACGGGGAGGCTCAGCAACTCGTCATCCAATTGGAAAATATTGGGACGGAGCCACTGGAGACACTGGAAGTCACCTCCAGACTTCTCACCACCAAAGGTGGGTTCGACCCCAGAAATGTTTGTCTTGTCTTTTTGCCAAAGAGACACTTTGAATAACCGGTGCTCAGAAACCGTAAAAGCTTCTTACTCTTTTAATTTGCTGCCGTCGTGAAATGGGTGTGTGAAGGGCACACAAAGGAATGAAGACTGCTCCTTCGTCCCTGGTGCTCTTCACATGTACCAGATCCTCAGGAAGGACGCTCTTGAATGGATGGAGAGAAACGTTAGCGGCTCAGACGTGGTGCCATTGGGATCCATCCGCCCAGCCCCAGGTTTTCCGTGGGTTCAGGTCTAGAGCCCGTGCGCTCCCTCTTGAAGGCAGGCACTCCGTTTCCTGTCCCAGGGTACATGAGCTGGGCGGGGCGGGTCACAAGACTTGTGTTGAGAGTTTGGCTTCTCTGTTTACTAGCTATTTGTCCCTTACACGCCTCGCTTCCTTCCCGGGTAGGTAGGGGAGGTGGCCCCTGCCACGTGAGGTTCTGAGAGGTAAGCAAGTAGCGTGTGGTGGCGTACCGAGTATATTACAGGTTATGAGTGGCATTGATCAAGGCGGAGGGTGTTGTATAGGAGGGAGGCAAGGGCAAAGAAAAGCCGGTCATTTACTAAAGTCAGAGAAATCATATGGGCCAGTGAGAGCGAAGACAACAGAGGGAAAATGTGGGGTGTGCACGTGCGGTTGATGTAGGGGTGAGGCGAGCCAGGTGCACGGCGGGAGCTTGAGTTTCCGGATGTGCCATCCACATACTACTCCCCCGCAGAGGGCTCCCTCCGCAGGCTCATGACACTGTAATGCGAAAACTCAAGTGAAGTAAGTGTTTATTAGAGGTAGGGCCTCACGCCATCTTGTAGTTCCAGTTGGAGGGAAGGTCCAGGAAGAGTTGGGGAGAATTTGTCCTGGAAACAGTTATACCACGACAGAGGGAATTTGGACTGTGTAAAAAGGGTTAATGTGAGGTCGTCCCATGGGGGGGGTGTGTAATGTGAGCTCGTCCCACTGGGGGGGGAATGTGGGGGCGAGTGCCAGTGCATCTCGCGTTCCCTTGTTTCTCCCACTGCTTCTGATGCACGAGGGAAATGAAGCCTGTGTCTGCCTGTCTTCTCTTGCCTGTTGTCCCCGTCTATACCTCTCCTCACTGGGAAATGCTGCCTGTGCTCAAATTTTGCCTGTTTCCTTACTAGCTCTGTATTACCTTTGGGCAAGTAATTTAACCTCTCTCGGATTTTTCCCCTTCTGTGAAAGGACACTAATAACAGCACCTACATCACAGGCTCATAATGAGAATGAAATGAGATCAGATACCCAAAGTGCTTGGAAACGTGCTTGGCATGTTATTAGCCTCAGGCTCGTTAGCTGTTATTATTACTGCCGTCTCTGCCACCGTCACCACCATCACCGTTATCTCTACCAACACCACCGTCATCACCACCGCTGCCACCATCACTGTCTCCACCACCACCACCATCATCATCATCACTACCGCCATCCCCACTGTGACCGTCATCATCACCACCATCACCGCCGCCTCCACCACCGTCATCACCACAGTTGCTGCCCCCATCAGCAACGTTGCTGCCACCCCTCCTGCCACCCTTGTTGCTGCCACCATCACTACCCCCACCACCATCACCATTTGTTTTCCTTGTCGTAGAACACTCTACTGTGAACGCGTCACAGGTTACGACTGAGTCCGTTTGGGTGGTTTCCTCTGGGGGCGTTTGAGAATAGTGCTGCTCTGAGTATTTCGGCACATGTGTCGGTGGACCTCTGCACATGTTTCTGTTGAGTGTATCTCCAGGAGTAGAATGCCGGGTGTGGGGTGTACGTGTATTCAGCATTCGAGCCAGATACTTTTCCAAGGTGGCTGCACTCGTTCACACCATCGCTGTGTGAGTCCCGGTGCTCAAGTCCCCACTGCTACTCGGTGTTTGTAGTCATTTCATCCGTGCTGGTGCTGAGGGTGGGGTGCGACCATATAACACTGCGGTTTTAGTTTGCATTTGTCTGACGACCAGTGATGTTGAATGCCTTTCCTATGCTTTTGAATATTCAGATCCTTTTTTGTACAAGTGCTTTGTCCGTTTTTCCCATTGAGTGTTCTTCCTTCTCTCTCTCTGTCTCTGTCTCCCTCTGTCTACCCCTCTCTCCTGACTTGTAAGACTTTGTATATTCTCAGTATGAGTTTCTTGTTGGGAATAAGTGTGAATGTCTTCTTCTGTGTGGTTGCCTGCATGTTCTCTTAGTGTTGTTTGGGTGCATACAAGTTACTTATTTTACTACAGGTTCACTAATTATTTTTTCTTCTGTGCTCATGGCTCTTTGTGTTTCATTTAAAACATTTTTGTACACTTTTAGCCTATGGGGAGCTGTGGTGATCCTCCCTTGGGCTCATCCTTTCTCTCCCCGATTCTTGGTAGCAAGTGCATATGGGTTATTTCTTAGAAAGTGCCTTTCTGACACAAAATACCTTTATCTGGTGTTGCGAATGTTACTAATTGGTGAGAGGGTGTGGTCGGTGTTGGAACAAGGGAACTAATAGTGAATGGCAGATGATTACAGAGCTGATAACCATGGTGAAGCACATCCTGTAATTTACCTTGTGTCATAGCTTAGCAACTGGAAAGCATCTTTTCCTGTTCTCAGAGAAACCCACGTGGAAATCGTTACGAACTTGCTGCCTCTTTCTGAAGCAGGAATCCTCCTGTTTGTCCCCTTTGGAAATCCTCCAACAACTTCCTGTTGTCCTGGTCCCCAGTCACAGAGGCCTGTGCATGGGGCCTCTGCCCCACGCTTCAGCTTCATCTTTGGCCGCCTCTCCCCTTAAACTCTAATCACATGGGTTTTTGGGAACTAACTTCAGTTTCCTGGACATCCGTGCGGTCTCTTGCCCTTTAGGGTAAACTGTCTTCTCTCCCTAGAGCTCGACTTGCTAACTTCTGCTCCTGCCTCCATTATCTCCATTACCAACACATCTCATCTGGGTTTCTGCTTAGTGGTCACTCTGGGAGTACCCTCCTAGCCTGGGCCGTTGGGTCCCTGCCTTTGTTGTCTCAGAGTGCCCCAGGATGCTAATGCAGGCACCCTTGCCCTACCCAGGCAGTTGCTGGTTCATGGCTCTGTCTCAAGTCTCCCAGAGGCAGGGATGATCGCCCTTTGATTTCCATGCCTCGTGCCTGGTAGGTGCTTAGTGCTGAGGGGTTGTGGACAGAAAGGGCTTTCTCATTTACAGAACAAGACTGATAGGAGTGTGCCTGTCTCGCTTGCTGGGTGGTGGTGGTGGTGGGGGGGGGGATAGATGTGTGTGGATCACTTTGATGTTTCTAATGAGTTGTGTGGGTCCCCTTAGATACACAGCTTCATGTGAGTTCCGGCCTCTCCTCCTTTGCTTGGATCCTTCTCCTCCTGTGGAGACCTTCAGCTGCTTCTTAGCCGAGCACTGCCTTTCTGCAGTCCAGCTTTTGTCCCCCTGTCTGGGCTACCCTGCCCTTTGGTGTTCTTCTGCTTTTGAGCTCCTGTGGAACTTACTCTTTGTGTCAGCTATGCCCCCACCCCCCAGTGTTTTATTATGAGAAGGTGCAGACACACAGAGGAGCTGAGAGAATTTTAGAGCAGACACTGTACCACCATCCAGGTTCTGTAATTAACGTTTTCCTACATTTGATTGATCACGTATCTACCCAGCCTCCTATCCATATCCATTAACCCATCTTATTCTTTCGGGTGGTTCAGAGTAAGTCACAGATTGCGGTGCATTTTACCCATTAATACTTCAGGATGCACATCACTAATTAGAGTTCAAAGTTTACTTTTTTTGGTAAAATGTATATGCAGTGAAATGTGTCAATATTTTTTTTTTTATTATTTTTGAGAGAGAGAGAGAGAGAGAGTGCACGAGAGCGAGTGTTGAGCAGGGGAGGGCCAGAGAGGGAGACACAGAATCCGAAGCAGGCTCCAGGCTCGGAGCTGTCAGCCCAGAGTCTGATGCGGGGCTCAAACTCATGAACCGTGAGATCATGACCTGAGCTGAAGTCAGATGCTTAACCGACTGAGCCACCCAGTGAGGTGCCCCAGTGAAATGTACACATCTTAAGTTATGATTGATGAGTTTTGACAAACACACGTGTCCAGCCCAAGCTCTTACCAAGATCTATCGTAGAATATTTTTATTGTGCAGAAGATCCCATCGCTCCCTTTCCAGCCAATCTCGGCTCACCCCAGAGTGGGCATATTTATCGGGTGGGCTCTCAGTATTTACTGATAGTGATGCAGCCAGTTGGAAACAGTCATGGGGATTGGACAGAATCCCAAGGTGAAGCCTGTGGAGGTGGGCACATCCCATGTTCCACCAATCACCCCTCACCCAGTTCCCAAACTGAGTTCCTGTGGCCACCATGCCCACACCTCCCTGTCCTTCTTGCCGTGTCACTTTCCCATGCAGCCCCTCCCCTACTCTCAGCTCTAGGGTAGTAGAACAGTGTCATTACCCCTACTGCATGGATGGGGATAGTGAAAACGCCAGAGGTTAAATGATCTGTCTGAGGCCACAGGACAGGTCACGAGGACTGCAGGTCCCTCCCTCTCAGCTCTGGGACCTTTACCCTTAATCACGAGACTGGGAGCCTCGGAGCCACAGTATAGAGCGTGGCAGGCCTATTTCCCAACAGCACGTTTACACGTGAGGAAGGAAAGCTTCGGTCTCTTAAAATTCTCATCCCCAGTTACAGTACATTCACCTCTGGAATTAAACTCATAAAAACAAACAATCTGCTTCTAAAATATAAGAGGGAATAATTTTGGCCACTTCCCTTCCGCAGTTCCAAAAAGCTTTCTGTGTTAATAGATGATCTCATATACCGGAGAAGAGGGAAGGTGTCTTAAACTGGGGACCTGAGGCGTTGAGTGGGGCAGGCAGCAGAGTCCAGGCGACAGTCCGGGTGACATTTCAGCCCACTGGGCTCAGCCTCTTTAAGGGCCTCGTAAACGTAAGCGTCTCCTCCGTG